GCAGAGCATATACCTGCCAGGTCCATGTCAAACACCTCCAAGGGGCAGCCTGTGCCTTCTGTTCCTATTTGATGTAGTACATGCTCTTTTCAGAGGATGTACATTATGGCAGGCTCCTACTCCTGGAATGTCTATAAATAATCACGGATTTAAAAAATCATATTCATGCAATAGACTAGAACTGAGCCAACTGGTTCATTTGTGGGCTTTTAATCCTTGAGGTACACATTTCTTTGTGAAGCACTGGATTTTTAAACTGTTCACCTTTGACAGGCAAGAAGCGGTGTCCTCTGATCTGTTCAAATACCTCTGGGAGGTTAGGGGAACCAGGGCATAGGTGGGCAGAGGGGTGTTCTAGGGACACCTCTCTTTAAGAAATGCTAATTTAAAGGGACAAAATGAGAATCTAAAGATGACCTTTGTTGGAATGGCCAGCATCTCAGTTTGTAAAAGAATCTCAAAGCCTATCCTAGACCCACAGAATTGGCCTCCTGGTGTGGACTGGGGAATTGCATTTTTTAAAAAACCTCCCTTCTCTACAACTCTTCCTCTCTACTAAAGTTTTAGTATCTCTATTCTAAATAGGAAAGGGAGCTGTGGGTGGAGAAGGCAGACCTCTCTTTAAATTTCTAATTCAAATATTCTGTTGCATGTGTCCGATTTATTTTCTTAAAACACAACAAAGCAGCCCTGTAGAATTTGAGGACACAAAAGTCAACAGATAAAACAAAATCAAGGAGTTTCCTATTAGAGGTTGAAAAATGTGACTCCTAGTGAACATGTTTGTAGGTTTGTTGACCCCAATTCTATTTTCTAAAATAAGGGTCCTCTAAAGAGTAGAATTCCAAAAGCTACATGAAACGCCCAGCTGAAGCAGGGTATTCAAAAGAAATTTTAAGCCTTGTCAAAGTGCGATCTACTTCCAGACCTCCTCTGAGACAGCCAAGGCACATGCTCATTCTCCTCAGTGAGGGATCCCTGCTGCAATGGAAGGTGGTCAGTCACACCTTAGTATGAATAGGTTCATGCATAGTTTTATTTTTGATAACTGGGCTAAGGCAGATTTAGGGAGAACAGTGAGCCTGCCTGAAAGATAAGAGGAGGAGGAGGAGGGTGCTGATTGTAATTTTGCCTAAAATCTTACCTGCTTCATACAACCTCTGTTCTGAATTATGTGGGAATTTTATTATAAACACTGATCTACAAAATAGATTTCTTCTCAATGATCTGTGTGAGTATCAAGAACTTGATGGAGGAGCTGGGTGCCTATAATCCCAGTGTCTCAGGAGGATAAAGTGGATAAAGTGGCCAGCCTCTGCAATTTAGGCTCTAGACAACTTAGACCCTGTCTCAAAATAAATAAAAATGACTAGGGGTATAGCTCAGTGGTAAAGTGCTCCTGGGTTCAATCCTCTGTATCAAAAATTTAAAAAAAATAATAATTTGGAGGAGCATTTATAGCTTTATAGCATTGATAGCCAGATTTAATCCTGAGCTAGACACCTCCCAGATCAAGGGATATATAGAATAACTAATGGGCTCACAAATGTACAAAGTAAATACATAGCTAAACTCCACTCCATCCCCAAGGACTACATTTAATAATTGGTACTAGATGTTTAACAAAGTGGTCACTGTGCTGAGAGCTTGATATGCATCTCCCTCATTTTCCCCATATCATGTGATGTGGTATCTTAGGTTGGGGTCTCTCCAAAACAGACTGAGTCAGACTTGTTTTTAAACATTATTTTTATTTTAAAATAAACATTTAAAAATGATTGTCAATTGTTTTTTATTTTTCTGGTCCTTTTTAGTTATACATGACAGTAGAATCTATTGTGACATAATTATGAAAGCATGAAGTGTATCTTATTCTAATCCAGTCCCCAGGACTTTTCCTTCCCCTTCCATCCCCCCCATCTCCCCCCCTCCCTCCCGCCCTCGTTCCCTTCCCTCTATGGATCTTTCTGTCATTTACCTGTAGTTACTATTTTTAAAAACTAATTTCTGTGGATGTACATGATGGTGAGATTCACTGTGGTCTACTGAAATACATACATAGGAAAGTTATGTCAGATTCATTCCACTGTCTTTCCTATTTCCTGCACCCTCTCCCTTCCCCTCATTCCCCTTTGAAAGACCGTTTTGTTCACTTGGTGCTCTTCAAGGATGGTTGCAATGGTGTGGGTGTGGTTCCTGTGTTGGAGGCTGTATCGTCAGTGTGGCGATGTCAGAGATGATGGAAACATTAAGAGGTGAGGACTGGGCCAGGCACAGTGGTGCACGCCTGTGATCCCAGCAGCTCAGGAGGCTGAGGCAGGAGGATTGTGAGTTCAAAGCCAGCCTCAGCAACTTAGAGAGGCTCTAAGCAACTCAGTGAGACCCTGTTTCTAAATACAAAAATGGGCTGGGGATGTGGCTCAGGGGTCGAGTGCTCCTGGGTTTAATCCCTGGTACCAAAAAAAAAAAAAAAAAAAAGTATTGACACCTAGTGGGATGTTCTTGGGTCACTGAAGGCAGATGCCCTTGAGTGGATTGTGGGACTCCAGCTCCTCTCTGCCTTCATGTTTTGGAGAATTGATTTCTTACCCACATGTTCCAGCAGTGTGTCATCATCCATTTGCCTTAAGGCCTCTCTAGAGTCTGAACCCATGAAACTACCTAATTTTGGGCTTTCAGCCTCCAAAATAGCTAAATAAACCTTTTTAGAAAGTTAGCCTGCCTCAGACATTTTGTTATAGTCACAAAAAAGTGGGAAAACAAAACGGTCAGAGCCCACCACATCCCACCATCATTAACAATTATTCATTAGGTACTCTGTGCATCAGGTGCCTTAAATTATTACTGAAGTCTCCTGAAAAACCTGTGAGTTGGGTTTTGTTATGCCCACTCCATGGATAAAATCTCAAGGTTAGAACTAGGAAGTAACTTAACTAGCATAGCAGGGTAGGGTGGGGAGGCCCAAACTGTGATAAACCACTGTAGCCTCTGTCCAAAGCCCACCAGGTCCTCAGTGTTTGAACGCTTCAGCTGTGTTAGCATTGCACAATGGAGAAGTAAGGGCTTTTGCTAATGGAGAAGTAAGGACACCACTCAAGGTACAAAGAAATCTGAAATCCGCATGGGCCAGGGATATGGCAAGGGGGACTTGCAGAAGTGAGGCTGCTATAGAACAAACTTTCCCTAGGGTCCTTCCAAGACAATTTCTTTCAGAATTTTTTCCCCTTTCCTCCTTGGGGTGGAGGTGCCCTCCAGGTGACTTGGTCCTACCCAGACTTCCGGGCACCCTGGTTTCTCCACTGCAGGGCCTTGGGGATGCTAACTCCCTATGGGCTGTGGGAAGTTGAGCAAGGTGGTCTGCAGGCTTTCAATGGCAGCTTCACTACCTTATGTCCAGGGCTGACCAAGTCTTGACATGTGGCTGAGGTTACTCTGGAGGAAATTCATGACGTCCAAGGAGATGCTGCAGCTCTCCAGGCCACCTGGACAGAACCCAACACTCCCCATTTGTCTCTGAACCTTTTTATGGATTGCAAAGTGACACTGCAGAAACAGGCAGGCAGATTTTTTTGTGGGGACAACTGGAGACAGGTATGTTGGGTTGACTTGTTGTTCTAGGCATTGGGCTGGACTGCATTCACATGGGGCTTCTCTCTTCCTTCCCAAGGGTATTTTCTGTGTGACTTAGAATAAGTATTGGGTCATGTGAATGTTACCATGGCAACTGGCATTTTAAATAAAAATAGTGCTACACCCCCAGTAGCCTGTCAGTGTGAAATGTGCCTATAGGCGGTGAAAGGCTCTTGGCATCTGCATCCCTTCCATTCCCAGCAGCTTTCTGTGGGCACCCCCAGGTCTTGAGAGCAGAACCTGTGGCTCTGACACAGGAACTGGGCTTCTGGCTCATTTTGGGGAGAAGGTGGGTGGTTTGCACAGGCAGGATTCCCTCAGCTGCCGGGGGCTCTGCCTGGGACTTCCCTCCTGGACTTCAGCCAGCAGTAGGGGGTGGGGTGCTGCAGTCCTCTAAGTCTTTCTGGGAGAAACTTTAATAAAAATGGGTTTTGTCTACTTCTGTGGAAACACAATCTGAGACAAGGATTTACATGCAAATAATCTATTTGGAGGTGACCCAAATAAACACCCATAGAGTGGGGAGGTAGGAAAGGGGAGGCTCTTGGTAAAGATCAATTTCAAAAATAACTGCTGAGCAACTTTGGGAGACCATGTAGGATAGGGCACCTCCCCCAGGGGCAAGGGAGCTGGTGCACTTACTTAGCAAATCCCTGTGGGTCATTGGATGAGAGCTCTCAGGATCATTAACTCTGTACTTCTAGATTTTTTGATTCCCTCAAAACAAAACCCCACAAAAACACCTAGATAGAGCGCCAAGGGTACGGGCAGGCAGGAACCTTTAGCCTTTAAAGGTGAACACCTGCCCAGACCATGTGGGCAGGGTACCACATCACCTGCTATGGGCCTCCTGGTAGGTGCTGCTGCAAGCTAATGGATTTCCCCAACCGTGGGAAGTCATTTTGTGTGGAGATGAGGAGTTTCATCAAAATTAAAGGGATATGAAATGACTTTTAATGATCTCGATAAATCTTGAGATCTCTGAGGGCCTGATGATGAAATCCAATCAGTACTCTCAAGGTAGATTGTTCTCCATCCCAGAAGCGGAGAGGGATTGGGTGGGGAGGGACTGTTCTCTTTGGGGGGGGGAAGGGAGGGAGGCTTATTACATTAAAAAATCAGTGTTTTTGAAAGTGTTTGAGTATGTCCTTCTCAAGTCCTTATTGATACTGTGGGGGATGACAAATTTTAAGATTAGACATAATGACAATGTAACCAAGAGGCTCAGACACTTAGGGGAGGAACCGATGGTGGCTTAGGCAGGAGTGAAGCGGTAGAAATGCATTACTGACTGTTCTGAAACAACCCAGTCCCAGAGCAGAACTGACTCCAAGGTGCCCTGAGGCGAAAGGAAAAAAGGCAGGCAGATCTAGGATGGCACAGAGTGCAATTTATTCAGACACTTACTGACAGAAGGGTGGTCCTGGGCAGCAGCAAGATCAGTTGGATCACTGCAATCTGGGTCAGAAAGAAGGGATTTATATATGGCTAGGACAGAAGTGATTTTTTTTCTTTTAAATCTTAGCCAGAATGCACCTACCTGGCTTATTGTAAGTTAACATCAGAGTCGTACATATTCCTGGTGGCAGGGTCTGTTGTAAAGTCTCATACGCTATGCTAATTGTTTTGTCTATTTATAGTTTGCTGGGAGCCCAGTTAGGGTCACTCTGGGGGAAATCCTGAAGGTTAACATTCAAGATGGCTCCTGTCGTGTCAAATGAAATTCATATACAGAGAGAGACGTTGCTTTGAGCTCTTGGTAAGAATTGAGGCAAGGTACATTTTTCCTTTTCCCGTTGGGTTCTATGAAATTCTCTGGGTAGAGTTAGCCATTTTGTAGATCTAATCACTTTCTGATGACAGGTACCCTAGTGAGAAATAGGAAGTCCAGTGGTCCATTGTCAGAATACAGTTTTTAGTCTTAGGATGTGAGAAAGTCAACTGAAGAGGAAATAGAACAAATGTTTACCAGCAGTTAACACCGGAGTGTGACAGCCTCACAGCCCCTTGACAAACAGGAGGTGAGGGGGGAAAGGGCTGGTCTGACCAACAAAGATAAACTTCCCATGTGCCAAAATGCACTCAGTCCCCAAAACCTTCCTGCCACAACAAAACAAAGGGAAGTAGGAACAACTAAAGGTCTATTTCGTCAACCCATAAGGAGACAGTAAAACCTAGGGGACGTTCCAACATCCTGGAAGATTGTGTACCCCACAGTACTCAAGCCATTGAGGAAGGAGGAGGCAGGGGGTGACCTTGTGCTCTAGGGGATAAAATGCTGATTGTAACAGGTTGGGGTGTACCTGCTCCCCCCTGCCCCTGATACCTGATCTTGCAAGACTGTCATTAAAGCCTGACTGCACCTTTGCGTGTCAGTCCATTCTTTGGGTTTGGACAGGTGAGCATGTTTCTCACACTCTGATCTTGCTTTGGATGCTGCTTTAATGGAGGGAGAGTTGCTTTCTGTTTCCATGGGTTGCTTTCCAAAATGCCCTGCCTCCACCTGGCCAATGAGACACCTTCTCCTTGGAATTTGAACACAGGGACATTAGAAGCACCAAAATTTGCCTGGAGTTTTTTGACGTCAACAGTGGTGTTCTGAAGAAAAGAGCTCACTAATTCCAGGAGATCACAAACTGTTGCGTTCGTTCTTTTTCAGTCTGGTACTTTGACTTCTTAAGTTCTCTGAGTATCCCGTGGCATTCTGGTACATTCTTGTGCCTTTTCTTAAATTCACTAGAGTCTATTTCCACTGATTGCCACAGAAGATCCCTGACTATTCCTGATTACTTTGGAGAAACACAAGGGGATTAAAAACCTGAAGGCCCTCAAGCAAAGTTCTATGAAAATCTGTCTCTGTTACTACTATTTCATGCAGCAGGTGCAGAAACAGAAGAAGAAGGAAAAGAAAGATGTGTTAGCATCATCTTTTCAGAGGACCCAAGAAGAGGAGGCAGAGGAAAGGGAGGCCTGAGAGTGATAAAAAGGGAAGGAAGCAGGACTAGGCAAGGAGGACTCGGATGTTCTCAACCAGTCCAAGGGGGAGCTCCGACACAGATGTCTACTTGGGGGAGTTCCTTGTTGGATGGAACTGGCCTGGCCCAGTTCTCTGCTATGCTTAGTCATTAGCTGGAGGCTGCCTGGAAAGAGCTGGCCTCAGCTCAGAAGCTGAGCCATATTGGAAGGTGCTGTAGCTGGGGGCTCACTGTGCTCCTTGTGGCTGAACAGCAAGTCCTTTCTCATAGGGACATCTGAGCCACACAGCTCCAAGGCTGCCTTCTGCTGAGCACATACCATGTGCCAGACACTCTCCATTTTGTCTTGCTCAGGGCTCTGACTTATCAGATTCAGACCCAGCAAAGTTATTTATCCCTGAGATTAGTCGTGTTAGAGCTGGGATTTGTCCCTCTGTCTGTTGGGCTCGAGTATGGCTGCTTCAACATTACGATGATGGCTGTTACTATTACCGTGTCATTCCTGTGATCAGAACTTGGGTTCTGGAGCTTACTGGCAGCTTGCTGTGCCCCAGGCATATTCTGTTTGGGTTGTATGTATGTGAATGCACCTGAGTCTGTTTGGGGTTAAAAACACAGATTTCACGGTGGTGCACACCTGTAATCCCAGCAGCTGGGTAGGCTGAGGCAGGAGGATTGCAAGTTCAAAGTTAGCCTCAGCAACTCAGCGGTAAAGCACCCCTGGGTACTAAAAACAACCATAACAACAACAAACCCCGCCCCCCCAAACCCACAGCTTTCTTAATATTCCATTGTCTGGATGTGCCAGTTTATCAACCATTTATCTACTAAAGGGCATCTTGGTTGCTTCCATGATTCAGTAATTAAGAATGAAACTGCTATAAACATCCATATGCAGGTTTTTGTGTGGACCTCAATTTTCAACTCCTTTGGGCAAAATGCCAAGAACTGTGAATACTGGATCCTGTAGTAAGACATGTTTAGTTTTTTTTTTTTTTTTTGAAGAAAATGCCAAACTGTTTTACAAAGTGGCTGTACCATTGTGCATTTCCCTAGCAGAGAATGAGAGGAGCTACAGTTGATTCCCGTCCTCCCAGCATTTGGTGGGGGCCATATTCTCTATTTTGGCTATTCTAATGGGGGTGCAGTGGGGTTTTATTACTGTTTTGATTGGCATTTCCCTGATGACCCGATGTTCAGCATCTTTTCCTTTGCTTATGTGTCATCTCGTCTCTTTGGTGAGGTATCTGTTCAGGTGTTTTGCCCATTTTAAAACTGAGTTTTCTTAATGCTGAGTTTTAGGAGTTCTTTGTATATTTGGGTCAAGGGTCCTTTATTATGTCTTTTGGAAATATTTTCTGGCAGTCTGTAGCTTGCCATTTTGCTCTCTTAACAGTCTTTCATGGAGCAGAAAATTTAATTTTAAAGAAGTCCAGCTTACCAATGTTTTCTTTCATGGTGTGTATCTAAAAAGTCATGACCTATGCCAAGGTCATCTGGCGCTCTCCAAACAATGAAAAGACATGAATAAAACTTAAATGCATATTAATAAATTAATGAAAAGGCTACATACTGTACAATTCCAACAACATAACATTCCAGGAAAGGCAAAGCTAACATCCGTGGTTGCCAGGGGTTAGGGAATGGGAAGGATGAACAGACAGAGCACAGAGGACACCCGGGACAATGAACCTTGTGAGAGACACATGTTATTCTATGTTTGTCCAAATCCATAGAAGATACACCACCAAGATTGAACCCTAAGCTGGGCACAATGGTGCACACCTGTAATCCCAGTAGCTTGGGAAGCTGAGGCAGGAGGATTGCGAGTTCAAAGCCAGCCTCGGCAAAAGTGAGGCACTAAGCAACTCAGTGAGACCCTGTCCCTAAGTAAAATACAAATTAGGGCTGGGGGTGTGGCTCGGTGGTTGAGTGCCTCTGAGTTCAGTCCCTGGTCCCTCCTCACCCGCCCCCCCCAAAAGTGAACCCTAATATAAACAATGGACTTTGGGTGTCAATCATGTGTCACTGTAGGTTCCTCAGTTGTAATAAACGCACCTCTCTGGTGAGGGATGCTGGCAGCAGTAGCTATGAGTGTGTGGGGAGGGAGGATACTGGAAACCTATATACTGCAACTTGATTTTTTTCTATGAACCCCAAATTGCTCTAAATGAATTAAATCTACTAAAACAAAGTTGAAAAATAAAAATAACAAAATCCCCAGTTTTCTTTCTCATGTGCCTTAGTTTAGATTCCGTTAAAAGGCAGATTCTGAGACCTGTAGTTTATTTGGGAGAACATTCCAAGAAGCGGGCGTTCGGGGCATGGCAGAGGGTATGAGAGAGGGGAGGAGTTACGAGCCAATAAAGCAGGCATCGGTGGTCACATGGGCAATGGGGGCTCCAACTTTCTGGGGAATCACTTGAGGACTGGGCACAATGTTGGGGCAACTGTGTCTTCCATGCTTGCTTGGTGGAAGGCAGCCCCAGGGGTGTTCCCAGGTACTTCCCAGCAGATAGAGCCTGCACTTAGACTGAGCAGACCCCGTGGCTCCAGAAACAGCCTCAGGTCCAGCACTTGGGTGGAGTGGATACAGTCAGCCTCAGGGACACGTTCCATTATGGCGACAGGGCACTCAGAGGTGGCTGGGACGATGGTGGGGACATCCATGGCATCTGTCACCCACATATTCAAGGCTTACATAAAGAATCTGACTGTAGTTTCAGGGTATCTGATACCTGTGGCTCAGGATTCTGGAGCCTTCACCATATCTGTTAGGGCACTGCATTAGTTTGCTAGAGCTGCTATGACAAAATATTACAAATGGGGCCGCTAAGACACCATGCACTTATTTCAGTTCTGGAGTCTAGAAGTCCAAGAGGAAGGCACCAGCAGGCTCGGTGTCTCCTGAGGCCTTTCTCCTTGCTTGCAAATGGTCACCTTGTCATCTCCTCACCAGGTCTTTCCTTTTGAGTGCTCCTCCTTGGGTCCTCTTCTTAGGAGGACACCAGTCCTATTGGATTAGGACCTCACCTTCGCGACCTCGTCTAACTCGAACGACCTCTTTCAAGCTCTATTCCAAATGCAATCGCATCCCAGGTTAAAGCTTCCACATAGGATGCGAGGGAGACATAATTCAGCCCATAACTGACTTGACGACTGGTGAGGGGAGCTGGCTGAGCCATACTTCCTCTTTTTACTGGTCCCAGAAACAGTTAAGTGAGAAGCTGAGGGTCATACAGCTAGCACGGCAATATGGTGCCGAGTCAGAGGTAAATCTGTCCAGGATGACTCCCACACCTGGGGACTGCCCAGACCAATGGCCTTCTGGACATCACGCCCCCATGGTCTCCTGACCTTGTTGTGGGCTTTTCGTAAGTGCTTCCTCTGTTCCCTCAATCTGGGAAATAAGGGAGTGGGTTAGGCTACCAGTACCTAGACCTGTTCCCCCTGTGTATTTTTAATTTTTTTAAAAATTTGTTCTAATTATACATGACAATAGAATTTAAAAAAAATTTTTTTTTTAAATTTGTCCCCTGTTTTTTTATATTGGTGAAAACTCCGGGGAGGGCACGGCGGAATGGGTATTGTTACCTGTGAGGACTGTTCTAACGTATAATCCATCTTTTAGGAGAGCAATTTGATAAAATATTTCAAAAGTTCCAAAGAATGTGCACATCTAGGATTCTTCTCTCATGGTACATTCCCAGAAGGGAATTGCTGGGTCAAGGTTGAGCGAGGAGGTGAGTTGCTATCGTTGTCTTCTCACATTTTACTTCTGTAAACATCAAAATGCCTAACACCAAGGGACTGAATAAACAAATCATGGTACCTTATTCAGGGGAACATGCGGTCCTAAAACGTGATTCTGCAAAGAACATTTAGTGACTTGGAAATCATTTTTTTAAAACAATATCAGAAGACTAATTACAGAGCAACCCACAGTGTGGTTCTCTCCGTGTTTAAAAAATACAAAGAGCTTACAGGATACCCCGGGGAAAAAGTGGTTACTTCAGTGTGATGGGATTGTACAGATTTATATTTTTATTTTGTGAAGTCACACTACAAATCATTGCTTTTGTAATAAGAAATCCCATAGAAACAGGTGTTACATTAGAAAATAATCTACCTCATTTGGCAGATGTTACTGGTCGGTGGGCTCTTCAGTGATTGCTAATCCTTCCTTTCTTGCTGCCTAAAAATTTCCACCTTCTGCACTAGAATCTTTCCCAGTTCCCTGGCTGCTGGGGTGCTCAAGTGATATGGTTTTAGCCAGTGGAAGTGGAAATCTGCTGGGTGGAGATGGATGTTTCTGGAAAGACTGTTTTCAGATAAAAGGGTTCTTGCACCTTCCTTTTCTCCCTCCTGGAATGTGAAAGTGTTGACTTGAATGTCAGCAGCCCTCTTGTGACCATGAGGTGCAAGGGTGGTAGAACAGAAGGGTAGTGTCCAGGCTTTTGATGGCATCCTTGATTATTTCAACACCTCCCTACAGCCAGGTTCTTGCAGTGGGTGATAATTCTGATATATTAATTTGGGTTAGTTCACTTATGAATGCTTTTGGCTACAAGCAACAGAGCTAAAGTTTTTCCTTTAGGCCCTGAATCGGTGCCTTTCCCCATGTCCCCAAGCCATTCCTCACTACCTCAAGGAGAAACAGGGACCTTCTCATCCAGGCACTTTTCCCCCAAGCTGGCTGTGCCTTCAATTTGTCACTGGTCTGAATTTGTTTGATGGCTCTTGGAGGAGAGGAACACTACATGTCTTTTCTGACAAAGGGAATAAGGTAAGAGTCCTGTGTTCCAAACTGATCAGGGACTGCATGAGACAGCCAGCTGGCCTTTAGGACTCTTAACTCTGTGCAGGACATTGCACTAGGGAGGAAAAAGAGCCAGAGCCCCACACCTTGGGCTCCTGTCTTGGTGGAGAAGAGGGATGTTGGAACACCACAGTTATTCCTTTGCATCTTGATGGTTGTGCGGTTTTGAAGTACGTGGTGCTATGTGAGAATGTAATGGGGGAGCCCAACTGGCTCTGAGGTTCAGGGAATGCAGCCTGGGAGCTCTTTCCTGTGTCTTTAACTCGGCAAGATGTATCCAAAATTCCTGGGCTTGTGTGTGACAGCCTCTGGGTCACAGTGCCCGATGGAAAGCAGTCTTTCGTTTGACAAAAAGAGCCCTCCCCTGTGGACTGCGCACACTGGTAAAATGGGAGAACCGGGTGCACTGGACTCCCAGCTTTGCAGAGCTTAGATTGACATGAGACAGTGCCAAGAGGAGCCATCTATGGGAACAGTGCAGACACAGGGGCCTGTTTCCTTCCCAGCCTTGGCAGAAAGGGTCCCATGTTCGTTCATTCAGATCATACATGTTGGACACCTACTGTGTGCCAAGGGTTGCTCTGCGTGCTTCAGAGCACATCAATGAACAAAGGAGCCAGTCTCCCTGCCCCTGGGCCGCTAAGGTCTAATGGGAGGAGATAAGATCACAAGCAGCGTATGTGGGGGTGTCAGGGAGATGCCTGCCAGGGAGGAAGGAGGAGCAGGGCAAGAAGGGGAGGTGACATGTGGATGGTGGCACACATTCAATGGGGAGAGGAGAGTGGCTTCCACCAAGAGGAAACTCTCCTGAGGTTCGAAGGAGGGACAGAGGGCATGGAGTTGATACCTGGGGCAAGAGAAGCCGCCGCAGGGGACAGTGTGCAGTAGGCCTCAGAGGCAGGTCTTCTGAGGAACAGCAGGAAGGCCAGCAGGGTGGCCGTGAATCCTGGGTGGATGTGGCCTGTGGAGATCAGAGCCCCAGGACCCGACTTATGTTTCAAAAGGATTTCAGGACAGCCCTTGCCCAGTCTGTTAGCTCTCAGAGTATTAAAAAAAAAAAAAAAAAAAAAAAAAAAATCAAGGTGGTCAACTGCGGGAGACCTGGTAACCCATGCAGCGAGTTGCACTGATGGATATGGACTCAGGAGGCTTTGCCCACCAAGGTAACTGAGCAAGGAGGCTGTCATTTGAGTTTGATCTGATGGGTCTTTAAATGTGCATGACTTTTGTAATCACGAGAAATATCCAAATTAAAAATAAAGGCTAGAGGTTCCCTCAGGGGGTAGGATTATAGAGGACTTTCACATTCCATCCTTTGTGTCTGTAATCTTTAAAGTGTGGTTCTTCAACAGTGCTGTTGCTTATCATTCTGTGCCTCTAAACATGCAGGGTACCAGACCCAGCAACGGGCTGACAGCACTGAGCTCAGCCTTTGAAGTCAGCCTTGCCCGCAATGCAGCCTCCAGTGGAGGCAGGCATAGGGAAGGACCTGAGGTCCACATCAGGAAGCCAGTGCTTAATTTTCTCCACTGCCATTGTTTTCTCCCCTAGCTCCAGTGTTTCAAGGTGGAGGCAGGTAGAAGCTGGTCACTTCTACAGAATCTCTCGTTAGATGGCAGAAGAGCTGCTCAGAAAGGTGGAGGATGAACAGCTCTGACAATGTACAGTTGGCAAGACCTTGAGGGAGTTTCACACCCGAGTCTGTTCCTCACCTGAAACATGGGAAGGATAATCCTGCTTGCTTTCCTTCCCAGGGCTGATGGGTCTATGTGAGATGGCATAGGCGAAGTGCATGGCTCGGGGCTAATGCTAGCAAGGGAATGCTCTTTGTCCTGGAGCACAGAAATACAGGGCAAGTTTATGTGTCCTAGGGCAGGTTCCTTAACCTTCCTGATCCACAGCTGAAAGGTAGAGTTGCAATGGCCCAGCAGTGGGCATTGCCACTGGTGTCCCTCACATCCTTGACAGTAGCACCTTTGCTTGCCTCAGTGGCTCTTGCCTGGTACCACTCATCTACAACCATGACAGTTAAGACTGCCACCAGGTGCCCAGAACCTGAGGCTGCTCCCAAGCTTCATCCTCTGTGGGCTTCAGCTTTGGGTCTCCCTCGTCTTGGCCCCGTGTCCCCTGCTGGAAACAGGAAGCCGTGGGTCAAGTCTCTAGAAAGCATGTCAGAAATTTGGTTTTCCTGCTTGTTCATTTTGGTCTATTTCTCCATTAAAACATTTTTTTTGGAGGGAGGGGGGGCTATTGCCTTTTATTTATTTATAGTTTTTAGTTGTTGATGGGCTTTTATTTATTTATACGTGATGCTGAGAATTGAACCCAGTGCCTCACACACACGCTAGGCAAGTGCTCTTCTACTGAGCTACAACCTGAGCCCCTGCTATTGCCTTTTAAAATAGCAATTTTGAATTCTCTCTCTGGTCTGTGTGAAGCTCCTTCTGAGGATATTTAGGGCATTGAGGGCCGGGCACAGTGGTGCACTTCTGTAATCCCAGTGGCTCAGGAGGCTGAGGCAAGAAGATAGTGAGTTCAAAGTCAGCCTCAGCAACGGCAAGGCACTAAGCAACTCAGTGAGATGCTGTCTCTAAATAAAATACAAAATAGGGCTGGGGGTGTGGCTCAATGAATTCAATCCCTATAGCTCGAGTCCCCGCCCCCCCCCAAAAAAAATTAGGGCTTTGAGGGAATAGTGGAACATTTTTGTCCCTGCTTTAAAATGTGCCCCCAATCAATGTCAAGGTGAAAACTTTTGATTTCAACTATGTCCTTGAGACCCATGAACTCTTTCTGAAATCCCAGTCATATGCAGTTTTCCTGGGGAGAGGATGCACAGCTTCCCTGAGGGTCTTACTATGGTAGGTAAAATGGGATAGGGAGGAACTCTTGCCTCAAATCCTCAAATTACTATATTTTTCTTAAAAAAAAAAAAAACCAAAACAACAACAAAAAAACCCCACTTGCCTGGAGTCGGTACCTACCAAGATAGTTACTTGTAGTTGAAAAGATTTTTGGCTATTGTACAAGGAACACAGGAGACCACCCCATGGAAAGAGGGCAAATGTTAGCAGTGATTATCCGGAAAATAAGCCAAAAAGGGATACCACCAAAAGGTAAAAGAACAACAAAAAAGTTTAAATGGAATCATTGTCCTGTGTCAGCTTCATGATGTTATGTTAGGCTCAGGATTTTCATTAGGTACCATCCATAAATGGCTTCTCAGGGCTGAGACAGACACAGGTGCTTTGGGCTGGGCTTGCCTGCTTTTCTGGACCCCATGGGGCTCCAATCTCTGCCCCAGCAAGTAGATACTTCTATCCCCAGGGCAGTTACCAGAACTCTTTGCTGCCTTTCTTAAAATGGGATTGTTGTGAATTGAGAGTAGAGAAATATAAATCCTTTAAAATATGTCCTGCATTGTTAGATTTTTTTTTCATAATTTATTGAATTCCTAAGACTTTGTATCGGTAGAAAACCTCTTACCTTCTGTCCTCCCTGTGGCGAGGGATAAAAGCTTGTTCCTGGGCATGTTTAGTGTGAAGATGGGAAGGGTCAGGTTTCCACAGCCTAGAACACCTGGAGATTTACTTTTAAGATCTGAAAAATGGGTTTTAAAAATTATTATTCAAACACTCAGTAAATGCCCTAAATGTTTCACTGGCTACCATTGATAGGAATGGAAATTTCAATACCATGCCCTTTTATCACTTGGTACTAGAGATTCTTTTCTATTTCCATCTCTCACTCCTTTTTTTTTTTTTTTTTTTTGTGGTTCTCAAACTTGTGTGCACTTCAGAACCCCTAGGGTGCAGGTTAACACAGACTGCTGAGCTTCACCAGAGGAATTTCTATTTGCATTACTAACAAGTTCTCAGGGATACTGGTGCTGCCATAGGCCCCAGGACCACATTCTAAGAACCATTGCTGTTTATTTGATATTCGATATTAAGTAAGTTCCTTTTAAACCCAGCTTTCACCTGATGTGCTAACCGGGGTCAGCAGACGATGACCAGTTTGTAAAGTGTGTGTCTGACAAGCCCCCTATATCCAAAGCTTTTGGTTGTCTGCACTGGGCCTCCTCAGAGAATTCTAAGGTTTGAAATATGGCTAGCTACAGCTGTAGGACCCTATGGAAGTTACAAGGCAGAGCTTTTAAACTTAGGGCTTCAGATGGTAGAACCTGTTAGAGCAAGGTTCCAGAAAAAAGGAGCGGGACATTCTTCTTTCTTATGGAGGGTGTCAAATCTACCTAAATAGAAGGTCCAGAATGTTCTTGGGGGGAGGCTGTTCTCAAGTAGGATGCATTTTTGGAAAAGAAGCCACGCTGTGGGCAGAGGTATATGGCCCAGGGCTGGGGCTTTGGCTGAAGTCAAAAACTGGGAAGGGAGCCCTAGGGTCGTGCTCCCCAAAACAGTTCTGGGGAATGCACATCCGTCTTTGTAGGTCACTGAAGGTCACTGTGCAAACCTCGGAAGAATTCACCAGCTTGACACCAAAATTAAATAGAGCTTCCTGCGGATCTGAAACAGTTCCCTCATTCTCTCTCTGGACATGACCCCGTTTTATATTTTATGAGGTTTTTAATCAGGTTCTATTACGAAGTGCTTGAAACAAGGTTAGAATCTAACCTTTTACAGATGCATGAAGGGAGAGAACACTGCCTAGTTTAGGAAATCAGAGTGGAAGCCTCTGAGAATGGAGAGGGCTTCGCTGGGTCCCTGGAAGCAAGCCCCAGGGGCTTCCCTGTTCAGCTTTGTCATCTTGGCTCCTTAGTAGCATGGAGCAGAGGCTCTGGACAGATTGTGGGGCCTGAGTTTAAATAGCAGTGTCGTCAATTACCAACGGTATGATGGCGTGGCTTTGGCACTTACCTGCTGGGGTGGTTCCAGGGCCTGCCTGTCAGGAGGAACTGGGCCCCAAGTCAATGGCTGGCAGTACACAGTGCTCTGGGCAGCGCCTGGCACCCTGTGTCTCCTCAGCAGTGCCTGCTGCTGTTATGCTGCTGAAAGAAGACAAAGACCCGGGGCTTCCGAAGAACGAGAGCCTTGAAGGACACTCAGGGCTCGGGCTGTGTGCATTCATTCATTCATTGAGAGGACATTCTGTTGCAGAGTGACTGCTCCATGCACACACAGACAAGGGGCTGGGGTGCAGCTGCAGCAGTGAGTGGAGGCGAATGTCACCGCCTTCAAGGAATTTCTGGCCAAAGGGAAAGACACATGCAGCAGCGTCCTGCTAATGAATGCAGAACGCCAGACTGAGATGAATGCTCTGCAAGGCCAGAATTCAGCTTGCAGAGTGCGCTGAACAGCGGCTACCTGACCTGGGTTGTCAGAAGAGCGTGGAGTCAGCTCTCTCTGAAATCTAGAGGGCAGACTGGCATTGATCATGGGAGGATAGTGGAGACGGAGGGCATCCTGGAAAAGGCCTTGGGACAGGGGAAGAGGAGGAAGGGTTTTTGTGGAGGGAGCAAGATGCATCAAAAGAGGGGATGGGGAGCACACAAGGGAGACCCTGCCAATCATGGGTCGCACCGTAGTGAGGTTGAAAAAGTTGCCAACTTTTTGCAGGCAGCTTCCTCAAGGTCAAGATAGAGTCTGCATGATTTGGAGGCAGGTTTTAAGAAGATCATGCTGAATGAATGTGGGGAGGCCAAAAAGACTTCCTGAAGAATCCCTTAGAGGGCTTGTTCACGTGTAGTTACTGGCCTGGGTCACTGTCCCCATTGGAGACCGTGACATAGCAGTGGGCGATGAAGCCAGGAATTCTGCTTGTCCCACATGTGGCAGCTGTCTCCAAAGGCCACTTTGTGAGTGATGCTAGCCTGGACTCTGTTGGTGGTCATGGAGTCAGCGGTGGATGAATTCTCAGAAATGGAGTTTGTATGTTCTAAGGAGATAGCAGGGGGACCTCTCTAAAATCTTGGACTTTTATTCCGAGAGGTAAACACAATTTATTACAAATTTCAGGGATGCTCTTGGTGCTCTGGGGATGGGGTAAGAGACAGAACTTCTCAGGAGCAGATTTACCTCCCAGGCTCTAAGGTGACCAAGGTCAAGGTGGCACTGATTAACCCAGGCTCTGTTTGTGGAACCTCGATGTTGTACAAGGTTTGTGCAGGGCTTGATTTTTGTCCGTCTCTTTGGCTTTCAATGGGACACCAAGCAAAGCCTTGTACAAATAATGCACAGTGTAAAGCTGGATCAGAGTGGGTCTGGATCTCTCGTCTATGCAAAGGCAAAGAGATGGTCATCTTCCTTTTCCCTAGTGCTTCACAAAGACTGCTGGGCAACCTCACCACCCCATCTTGGGAATTCTGCCTGAAGTCTCAAAAATGGTGGCATCTCATGTGAGATCTACTAGGCATAAAAACACTCAAGCTCTGGAGACCCCAGTTAGATTTCCAACTTTTTGAGGTCCCTGACTATCAGGACCTGAGGAAAGAAAGCCCACCTTCAGTTCAGGTACGTCTTGTGTTTGGCTGTCGTCTGACATTCATGTCTTTGGGCCATGTGCCTGCTGGAGAGCTGTGGGGCTCTCCTCCTGGAAAGGAGTTCACTCTTCAGAGAACCTGGGTCCCTCTAGGAAACAGACATGGTCCCCACATGTGTGGCTCTAAAGAATTCCATCTCTCTGGAACTGTTCCCTGAGGCTACCATCCTATAATTGGGTCCTCGCCTCTCTCTACTTTGCTCCGTTCCAAGGTACTATCCTTAAAGATCAAGGCAAAGGTCTCAGCTCCTCAACACCTGTGTCTCCTGCACTTAGGAGGAAATGTCTATTGGTGGTGCTTAACCCTTCTGATGGCCCCCTGACACCATTTTCCCTGTGGGAAGTCTGGTAGCACCAGTATCTCCATAGAAAGTTAATCCTGCCGGGATTGGATTTTTCTTTTAAAATTGGAGTTATTCATGTTCAGATAAATAGCAGCCACAGGACGCTAGTGTTTGTGGTGCAGCCACAGCAGCAGGACAGGAAGTAGAGAGCTGCAGGCCCGGGTTCTGGAGCTGGGAGGAGGTGTCCTGGGATGACCTTCTGTGAAGGGCTTGGCTGCCTCATGGTGGACGTGGTGGACGCTTGTTGGTTCTGGTGCAGAGCTGCCTGTGGTGGGGTGTGACCCTGGTGTTGTGAAGTAGCCGTTCTCTGATTGGCAACGGCCTGATTCACAACACCAGCTGCCCCACCGCACCATGCTGGGACATCCTGGGGTGGCTGAAGGGCACATGATCATCTCTGCTGTGCTGTTGCTGAGAGAGGAGAGAGAGCAGCAGGGTTAGGATTGGGATGCAAAAAGTCTCCATCATCCATCTCCCTCTCTCTTATGTCCCATCTGAGACACTTTTCTTTCTTGTATCTTTTGCCCGCTTCCCCATCCCGAGGGGATCCTGCACCTTGGATACAAACTTACCCAGTGCATTAGTGTTTCTCTGGGTAGAGAATCTGCCTTCAACAAACCCTCAGAGGAGAATACAACCCTTCACAGCCTGAGTGTCTCTGCCTCACAAGGTACAGTGATTACCAGTAATTTTTAAGGTCCATTGGTAAAGCTATTTTCCCCATTGGTATTGGGAAAGAATGCAGGGATTTCCATTATTCTCTGGCCAAATGTAGATAACTGGAGATGGTTCTCACTTTGTATCCTAAGTAATATCTTCACTAGGACCACTGCTGTCTTGATTCATATGCTTGTTAAGGTCCCAGACCTTGACAGCTGAACTCAGAGCCAGCCCCCCTGTCTTCTGGGGAGAATTGAGGAGGTCAAAATGGAATCATTCAAGGATGGAGAGAACAATCTTCCCACCCAGTCCCCAACTGATTGGGGAACACATTCCAAACACAAAATAAGAGTGATCACTGAGGATTTGGAGCAGTCAAACCAACAAAAACAGGCTAGCTGGAAAGCAACCAGGTGGCCCACCAAACAAGGAGCCCCCGGGGTGCCTTGCCTTTCTGTTAGCTAGTGACCTGCTGGGCTCATCCTTTCCCCAGCTTTAGCCCATCTCGGATATTGAGTTTCTGCTAAGGAAATCCAGCAGAAAATAAAATGGCTTTGGAACTCTCCTTTTGGTGTCTGCCTGGATTTCATCACCATTATGAAATTATGTAGTGTAAACTGACGTGAAAACAGCATTTAAATGCCTGTTTCCAGGTGTCAATAAACACTTTAAATGAACAGCTCTTTGGTCTCAAATGGCTCCTGCCTGCTGCGTGGTTCTTAGTTACCCAATCAAGAAAAATCACATTTTCCACTTCCTGCCATCTATCTTGGAACCCGCTTCATTTTAAGGACACAGACTTGGCAAGTTCCTGGTATTGGATGTGGCACAGAAGTTCTGCCAAAGTTCTTGCCAGAGTTGGGGGAAGCAGAAACTTTGAGTAATTCATCAGTCATGACTTAACACCATGCCCCATAAACCACCGAGGCCTTGGAGTCCGGAAATATCTGGATTTTACTGTCTACAATTCCTGTTGGGGTCTTAGGCTGTAATTGCTACACTCGGGTCTCTGTGATCCATAGACCTGCCAAGCTGAGGATTTATATCAAATGTGAGTTGTGCATCCCAGACTCCCAAGAAGGACATGGAACCAGGTGTGTGGCTCTCTGTGTGCCAGGGCAGAAGGAATGTTGGTGCTGGGGCCAGGTGTTGATGCCTGAACTCTGTGAAGGTCATACTGTGTCCACTGTGTTAGGAGCAGGAAGTCCGGAGGCATGAAAGAACTAGTGGGGTTAAGGAACAGCAGGAGGAACCAGGGTAGAGAGGGTTCCAGCTCTAGCTTGGCTACCACCTTCCCTGGGTGGACACAGCAAATCTGGGTACCTCGTCCCATTTAGATTGCTCACTGGATGAGGGGGGGCCCTGGAGCAGGTGGTCTCTAGGCCCCACACCTCCAGTTCTTCCATCTCGGAGCCTGCTTACTGGACATCCAGTATGGGGAATGGGTTGCTGTGTGGCACCCTGGTTGAACACCAGGACTTTAGAAACAAGTGGGTCTGGGCTGCATTGCGACTGTCCCTTTGTGCCTGTGTTACTGAACCTTTCTGGGCCTCCATTTCAGTATCTGAAAAAATGTGATAAGATCAGAAAACCTGGCACACAGAAAGTGCTCAATAAGTGTGCATATTTGATGGTGTTGGTGCTGATCAAGTTAATATGGCTGGCTTTCCAACCGTCAGGTAGAGAGACACCTGGAATTTTTTTTTTCTTATGGGACTAAAATTTCTGTGGACTGTCTTGAGGACCAAAAACCACTTAACTCTGAGAATAAGGAAGCTGCAGATAGTGGGATGAGGTCTTTTATAAAGTAAGCAAGGGGACTGTGACTTGACACTGCTTATGGCTAGAGCCTTCAGCAAAGTCGATGTGCTCTTCTGTTCAAGCATGTGCATGGGAAGGTATATTGGTACTGGGTGGACCTGCACAAGTCTGAGAAAGTAAACTGCCATCAGCCCATGTACCGGCACTATCCCACCCCTGCAACTGAAGGGCAAAGGGGACTCGGGAATTGTCAGTTCTGCTCATGACCCCAGTTTCCTGTCTGCATCCAGTTCTACTTCTTGGTTCTATCTAGGACCCACCAGTGCCTAGTGGGTCAGAGACAGATGATAAAGAATTGATCATCTCAAAGTAACAAACGATTATCATGTTTTGACTTAAAATGCTTGCAAGAAGGTACCTGCAAGGCTCAGGTGTGGCCCCACCTTTTTTCCCCCCTCATCCCTCACTGTTCTTGCTCTCTGTACTTGAATTTCCCTCCTGCCCCGGGGGCTTTTACACAAGCTGCTTCCTCCACCTGGCATGTTCATGTTGCATAGTTGGATACAACTTCTTCAGACTTCATTCAGCTCCGTAGTCACTTTCTGGATTTCCAACCTGCCTACTAGCTCTGACTTCTCTGTAATGTGTTCTTGGGGCATCCAGCACTCTTCCTTCACAGCACTTATCATGGAATGAGTGGTCTCCCAACCTCACCAGTGGATCTCCAGCACTGGCCACCTGGGAGATGCTTGATGAATACTGGCTGGGAATTCATCAAGCATTTAAACCAAGATTTAAACCAAGATCCCTGTGGCTCATTTACTCTTTTCTGAGAGCTCGGATGAATCCGTCAGGAGAATCAAGATGGTACCATGCATTTTAGGGATATACAGTGCTAGTGTGTACACAGATCTTCCTAATTCATCTCCCTAACTCTAGGCTAACCCACTCTGATCCACAGGAATTGGATCAACTCTTCCACAGGCTCAGCCTGATCTGGCCTAACCTCCGTTAAGATTGCCCATCATTCCCAGGATGGAGTCCTGGATTCCACAGCCCCTTCCTTTTACCTCTAGCTTCTTTTCTGTCTATCCCAGACTGTGCAGTGCAGTAGAGCCCATGGTATACCACACACACATGCTTCTCTGGATCTACATTCAACTGCAATGTTGCATGTTCCTTTCTAAGTAGAAAACTCCTCCTGCTTCAGTCTGGGCTCTGGGGCCAGCTGTGGGTGGCCTTCCTTGTCCTTTGCTCAGCCAAGGGCCTGGCTTCCGTGACTTGCACTTTTTGTACGCTTCCATTACTGTTAACTCTTCTGTGTGTCTTGGTAAATGGTGACTCTGAGGATGAGGCCCTCAGGGAGTCACCTGGCAAGTCAGCACCCACACAGCACCTGGAGCACAGGAGCCTTCAGCTCACTCACGGAGTAAAGTCTTGCAAGGTGGGTGTGTGTGTGGGCACCATGATGGTAAAAATTTGTTTTTAGTGTCCCCTATGAATCACTAAAATGTCTGGGAAGTCCAACTATTTGCATCTTTAGTGCATTTCTTCATCTCTGTGGCCGCTCCATACCTCCAGCCCAGAGCTCTCCCTCCACCTCTAGCCTGGATGGTGGCATAAGAATTGAACTTGTCCCTCTGATTCATTCTTTGCACAGCAGCCTGGGCGACCCTTTCGACACATGAATCAGATCACATCACTCTCCTGCTTCCAATCTCTTGCTTCCCAACATTCTGGAATAAAATCTGAACACCCTGTATAAACCCACGTGCCCCTGGTGGTCCAGCCCTCCTGCCCACCCACTGCCACCCCTCCTCCTGGATGCCAGCTCCACTCTTTCTTTCATATCTTGAAGCACAGGGCTGGACCATATGGTGCCTTCTGCAATGTGAGAAGCCAGGCCTTTCCTGCGAACAGCGCCTTCTGTCAGCTCAAGAGGTGCCCCTTGACAGGATGTGCCGCCTGCCCAGTGGAGCCTGGGCTAGACCTCAGCCCCCACTTACCCTGCAGGCCCTGTATCATACAGCCCAAAGGGAGTGGCTCTGCTGGAACACACCCTGGCCCCCTCCCTCCTCAGAGCCTTTTTTCTGTTGCCTCTTTAAGGACCTGTAGGTACCTCAGGAGCATTTTAAGAGAATGCAAGACACCTAGTATTCTGGAATTATTCATCAATTGTAATTAAAGCCTTTACTTCTTTATTTTCCACTTGGACTTGCTTATGTCCTTATTTGACAGGAGTTTTATAGGGTCAATCCAGCTCATTCTGTTTTTTTTTCTTTTTCTTTCTTTCTTTCTTTCTTTTTTTTTTTTTTTTTTTTTTTTTTTTTTTTGACACCAAACAAGGATCACTTGGTACAGGCAATATCAAGGACATGACATGTATCTAGGCTTTATAACACCAGAGGTTTCAAATTGGGGAAATACTTTTCTGCTTGTTAGTGCTGGGGGGGAAAGAAAAAGATGTCTGTGACAGAAAGTTGGGAGGTGTTTCCTCATCCACCACTTCCAGGTTTATCTCAGGTCAACAGATTTAGTGGCAGATGTTAAACACCAATCAGACTGGCTCAGGAGGGCTGTGGGGTGGGGCAGGGGGATTTGGGGGCTCTACCCCAACACCAAGATCCTGATTTAGCCTATTTGGGAGTGAAGTGTAGGAATCCATCCCTCACTCCAGGGATTCTGATAAACTAGACATAGGATCCAAGACTCTGTTAAAAAACCAACATTCCTAAGGAGCCTCAGCACAATGAGAGTCTGATGTAGCCTCAAGGTGTTCAGAGGAAAATTAGATCGTGCCTACATAGCGGGCACTGTAAATGCCCAGCACCACTGTTTGTGTGTACAGGGTGTGATTCTCCACTCAGCCACTTCCTTGCAGGGTATGTCTAGTCGACACTGCAGGGAGTTAACATCAGCGACCATCAGGAGTTGCTGGATGAACGCTGGGCTCTCCAGCCCCTCCGTTGGAATAACCTGAGCGATGCTCTACTTGGGCTTGCAGAGGTCTCTACTTGCCCACAGCAGTAACCCGAGAGGTAACACGATTTTTATTGGCTCAACTCCTATCTCTAGAATGCTTCCTGAGACCATCTCCCAACACTCAGCTGTGCAGTCCGTGTCTGTGTTAAGTGTATTTAAATGCACTCTTGTTTTTGAATGGGTGGAGCTTACACTGTTCCCACGGTAACCTGTGGCAGGGTGGGGTTAGGGGGAAGAGGAGAGTGAGGAAAGAATGCCCTTTCTCCCAGGTGCTGACCTTGATTTCCATTTCTCCTGAGCCAGACAATGAGTGCTTCCTGGGATTTTCCATCCTAGGTATCTTGTGGTTTTTTTTTTTTTTTGGTGGGGGCAGGGCAGGCTATTGGGGATTGAACTGGGGGTGCTGAACCACTGAGCCACATCAACAGCTCCTTTTCATATTTTATTTTGGGACAAGGTTTTGCTAAGTTGCTTAGGGCCTTGCCAAGTTACTGAGACTGGCTTTGAACTTGCAATCCTCCTGCCTCAGCCTCAAAAGCTGCTGGGATTGTGACACCACCCTGTGACACCATCACAGGCCTGTGACACCATCCTGGATATCTTGCTTACCTACCCTACTCCCATTCTGACTTATAGGGAATCAGAACACACAAACAGCTCACTCTGATTAGGTATTTCCTGGAGTGTGCTGTACCTGTGTTTCTTCATTGCTTATTTCATAGGCACTAACCCTCTAACTAGGATATTTTTGGCACCCAAGTTTTGAGGCATCAGGATCATTCTGCATGGTCAGCAAGGCATGCATGCTGGGACAGGCATTGAAGACGGCATGTCTTTAAGATGATGGCAAAAATGAAACCAGAAGGCAAATTGTAGAGCCTGCTTGCTTTAGCCCATCTTGGCAGTAGCTTTCCAGGTGGGCTTTGAAATAAAAAACCCTGGTTTAAAGAGGCTGCCCAGCCCAGTTCAGAGTTTATTAGCACAGTTAATATCGCATGCAAATAGATTTCCCCGCTTCGGTCATGCCAGTCCATTAATTCAGCCCCTTGTCTGCTACATCTTTATCCTTGGCAGGTTAATCCTGCCAAATGCCTTTGCTGTAGCACATGTCACGCTGCGCCTATGTCTAACAAAGCAATTTTTGCTAATCCTGTTGAATCAGCTTTGTGGCCCTGTCTGGTCAACCCAATGGTGGAAAAGCGCCTATCAGGTTTTTGCCAAGATCTTTCTCTTACTCTAGCACCCACTCTTCCCTTTTCAAATTAATATGGTTTCCATGGAATGATCTGACAGTCAATCCCAGTGTTCAGACACCTGCCAATACCCATGTCTTTCAGACAAGGATGTCAAGGTGCTCAGAGGGCCCCCCAACTCTTTCTTGCAGCCCTACCCAGCCATCAGCTACATATATGCTAACCAAGAGGGGTTAAATAGGAAGCCCCAGCCAAGGCTCTGCGCACCAGAAGGGCTTGAGGATGGCTGAATGGAGGGCATGCAATTGCCTGTTACCTTTGCTGGCATCTGTTTTAAGGTTCAGTGGAATCATTAACATGAATTGTTAAAGGTGCCACCTTCCTGCACCTTGTGTCACAAGGTATCACCTTGTGATACATCCACTGGGGTGGAACGCCTCCAGGCCTCACAGCTCCCTAGCCCACAGCCCAGTGTGGGTAAGGGTGGACCTTGTAGCCAGATTTTCCCAAATCTCTTCCAATCTCAGAGGGACTACTTTCTATGACTTCAAGCACATTGCTCTATGTCCCCGACCTCAGTTTGCTCATCTGTAACATGAGCATAACCACAGTACCTTCGACACAGGATTGCTACAAGGACTCAGTGTTATTAGTATATACCAGCTAGTCAGAACAGTGCTGGCAGGCACATAGCAAGCATGAGGTAAAAGCAGGTTCATATTTACACAGATTGGGAAATCTGTCAAAACACTGCCAATTGCAGCTTCCTGTAGTATATATGCAGAGCACATGGGTTTATCTTTTAGGGTCTTCAGATGTGAACTGCAGTCTCCTGCTTGGCTCCAAGGACCCTCTCTGGTCTCCCTACTTGCCACTGATCTCTGCATTACCCTGGCCAGTGATGGGTGTGAGGAAGCATTTCAGGGTGGATAAGCCCAGGATCTTCAATCGTATCCCCAGAGACTGAATTCTGCTGCTATGTGACTTTGAGGATGTTTTTTTAACCTTTGTGATTCTTATGATCCTTGAATTACAAATGGGGGACCTGGTGCTATATTCAGGGAGGTTTCTGTGCAGATTAATAGAAAAGGTTCATGTGAGTACCTGGTCTGTTTCTATCAGTAAGTATCCCATAAATAATGGCTATTGTGGGCCTGGTTCCCTTGCAATGTACCAGGTCCTCCCTCTCCAATCCTCCATCCTCTTGATCTCCCTGTGGCCTTCATGGAGATGAAAGAGTTCAAGAATGGAAGGAAGGCTGCCAGTACAGATCCCACTTCCAACACAGTCCCAGGAGAAGAAGTGGTGCTCATTGTTGTTAACTCTGTAGCTCAGCCTGGTTTGACTCTTACTTTAAACGGCCTCAGCTCCATCCTGCCCCCTTTTGTGTTACTCTCCTCTGAACCCTGCTAACACTTGTGAGTGGTTATGAAATGATGGTGTGCATATGTGGATTTGAAACTGTCCCAACACATTGGACATCTTTATGATAACCTCGAGTGCGGAAGATTAAATCTAAATGTTATCAGATGTGTCAGGACAAGGAAATGGAGGCTTGGAAATGATAATCAGCTTACCCCAGGTTGTAGCTAGAAGGTGGGTACAGAGCTATTGTTTGAGCCCAGAGATGCCTGTCTCTAGGCCAGCAGGCTACACAATACATTTTCGGTGTGATGCCATTTCTTCTGGAGAGCATCTGAGACGAGGGTGGAGCTCCTTTAGCATTTATTTGTTTCAAGCTACAGTATTTGCCACTACGGTATTTGCCTTTTCATGATTTTGATGAATCTTGCACTAAGTTGTTTGTGGGGAGGGGTATGGGTGGGGGGGGGGAGAAGATTCCTTTTCTACAAAAATTAGGAAATTCCAGCACCTAGCACATTTCAGTGATTAGAAAATTCCTATATATATATATCCCAAGTCTATTGCACTGATCTTAATCCAGTTCTCACTTGCCAACCTCTTGAACAGAATCAGCTTGCAATACTTCATGCTAATTAAAACATGATGGAATCAGGCTATTTGCAAAATTAGCACTTCTGAATGTCTGGCCTCTGTGGCCCCAGTGGGGCCCACTGAGGCCCACCTCTGTGTTGCCTTGGCAAGAATTCCTGCTGAGAGGACAGTCTATCCATCCTGGGTCTTGAGAGGCATGCTTACCTCGAAAAATGCAAACATCCCTGAACTTTGCTTACCGGATAAAAGGCAGCATTAGCTTCCCGTTGGCATCCCTTGCATTTCCTCCTGCAGGATCAATCACAGGCCAAGCCAGACACGTGGCCCTTGCCTGTAATTAATCTCAGGGAGGCGAGGAGGCGGGGAGGCACAGCTCCTCTGTGATGGATTGCTGTATCAGAGTGTTGCTTTCTGGGGGGAGGGGTGGGAGAAGATGATGATAATAAGCATTGAGGATGGAGGCGGCTGCTCAGGCGCCATGTGGAGCAAAGCAGCATTTTTTTTTTTTTTAAATGGTTGATGCACCATCAGAAAAATTCACTTTTGTCTTTGAACTACCGAGCACTGGGGAGGGAGTCTGCGATTCTTTTTCTCTTTTCCACAATGTGAATTAGGTGGCTCAGTTGTGTTCCCCCTTCTCCGCCTCATTCTTTTTTTTTTTTAGCCAAATCAAAGTTGGCTAAGTCCTGTCTCTTTGGTGGTTTTACAGATGTGCTCAGCACCATGGTCTGTCCAAGGGATGGATGTGCTTGTGTTTCTCTGCTGAAAAGGATTTAAACATGACATTTTTATACAATTTCTCTCAGATGCTATATTTTAAAAATTCTTCATAGAATTTAAAAATGCTTAAAGGTGGGGTATTTTTGTTTGTTTGTTTTAAGCTCAATCATCCTGGTACTAGGTTTGTGGAGTGGGGGGCGATCACAAGGGTGTGAGAATCTTCCTCATTCATCAGCCCTGACAAGGACTTGAGGCATTAAGAGCTCCCAACAGGGTTGTCGGCTCCTTGCCTTTCCTGAATAATGTTGTTTGTTACTATTTTAAGACACAAGCAACCTGCAGGAAAATCTTACTTCAAAGAAGCGCAACACCCAGAAGCCTCCAACAACACGAAATCCCCTGAACAGGAACTTTTCTTTGAGAGTTCTCGCAGGACTTGGTTAAAAAGCAAGTTTCCTGCCACCTGAATGTCACATGTGAGAGGTACTTTGTTGTAGGGACATGCCCACTGTGCAAAGAGAGGCAGATCTGCATTTACCTCTGGAAAGGGATTTCTTCTGAAAAAACAAAACAAAACAAAACAAAAAACAAACAACAACAACAACAAAAAAAAACATCTCCCCTGCAAGCCCAGGGAGACATTGGCAACACAAAGATTAAGTCATGGATAGTGAAGGGAATATTTCCCAAGCTGGTATGTGATACACACCTATTAATAAGTAAACGAGACAATCTCATCCCCATTCTTTTCTAAACACACTGACCTGGGGGTCAGCACCCACAGAGTTACTAACTTCACCTGTCCTGCCAGGACCATGGACAAAGATATTCTGGGCAGCCTGAGGCCCTCTAGAAAGCTCTAAACTCTGGAGCAGGTGAATAGACTCCCTTACCTTGGTTCCTGGCATTTCTGTTGCTAGAACAGAAAATGCTTTCTGGGCAGACAAAATATGCAATGGGGAAGTTTGACCAAGCAGTTTTTCACTTGAAAGAAAAGAAGTCACTGTTGGAAAATCCTAACTGACATTGAGACCTCAACTGCCTGGTGGGACATTTCTGGTGATCAGCAGAGACCTAATTTTTCTTTTCAAAAGTCCTGCTTCTTCCCCACGATTCCTGGCGATAGAGCTCTGGGACATTTCTCATGCAAGGTCTTAAGGCCTCCATCATGAGAAATTACATTGTCTTCTCTCCAGTATTTTTTTCCCAAGAAATTCTCTTTTAAAAAATTGCAGCAACTCATATAGCCTCAGAGGGGTGAATCCTCTTGAATGAAATATAGTTTCCCCAGAATGGCAAGAGGAAGCCTGCTCTGGAACAGAACAAGTTCCCTCTCTACCACCACAAACAGCAGGGGAAAGGAAAGGGGGAACAGGTTTCTCGAATGAGTGAACCAATGAGTCACCGCCTCTCATATCCGCCGCCGTGAGCTGTGAGAGATTGCACGTACATGCTCACACCTACAAAGACTCGCTTCAGGCTCACCTTCATACCTGCCTGACCATTATTTAGAGAAATCTCTAGCAAATTCAAAGAACACTTCACAAGTCCAAATGGTTCTGTGTGCTTAACCAGGGCTCCTGAGGGCTGGGAGCAGTGGCTTCCTGGAGGGTCCTCTCTCTAGACCCTGGGACCAGGCACAGAAACTGATGTGGAGCAGCTCACAGATCTACCTCAGCTGGCCCCTACAGGAGATCTAAAGCTAGGCAATTCCTCTGGAATCCTGGCTCGAGTCCTATACTTTGAAAGTACCTTCCAGGTCCTGGTGGTTGGGGGCAGTTTTCCTGCAAATGGAGGCGCCAGGTAGGGGCTTATTCAAAAATATAACTGGGAAGAACAGGAAGGTGAGATGTACCAAGGCAGAAGATGGTATACCAGGGGTCCGTGGAGCTTCCCTGGAAACCCTGTATTAAAAAGATCTTTGTGCAATTATTTATGGACATAATTGAATGCAGAATTGTTAGACAAATATCCCTGACACTTGGCTCAAAGTAAAGCATTTCTGTAATCATAGGTATTTGAATATGGGCAAGGACCATGTTCTGAGGCACACAGAAGATCCAGGACCCTTCCTCTGAGGATGTGGATCCTCAGGAGCAGGGAGAGAGCAGCAAGATGTTAAGATGCATCTCCATGCCCAGAGCTGAGGCCCCACCTCTCTTGGCTCCATCCTGTAGCCTTATAAAGCAGTCTACAATCTGCATCACTGTGTCTGTTTTCCTGTTGCTAAAACACTTTTGAGCCTCAAAACAAGCCATCATGTGCCTGGCTGAAGGCCATGACTGCAGCTAACTCCGAACCCTCTCAGCTGGCATGGAAAAAAACCGACTGACCTGTTGGTTCTGCTCAGCCTCTTGGTCCTTGTCTGGATACAAAATGGGATATCCATCTTCATCCCTCATTCTGTAAGAAATTTCCAGAAAATTAGTCATTGTCACAGTTACCCTCACTTCAGGGCAAGTCCTTTTAGGCTCAGCAAAATCAAACTTGGAATTCACTTGCATTTCATGGCCCACAGAGGAGCTTCCTAAACCATGGGTCTGGTGCAGGAAGCTCTGCCAGCCAGGGTGCTTGATGCTGAGTTCTCCCTGGCACTTGTATATTCTTTAACAAAGTGACACGGTGCAGCTAACATTATCACAGCACCCTCAAGTGCCTCTTGGCTCCTACTTGATGCGATGCTTCTGGTGATGTGTTTTAATGGGCCTTTTAAGCATAGGTGGTAAGAGGATGAAGAGTTTCCTGTTTTAGGGCTGAGGCGCTCTCAGACTGTGTTCATGACACCATTCCCGCTCCCACCTCCACTCTGCATTCCCTTTCCACATTGCTAGAGAAGAAAGAAAGAAAAAAAAAATGGCACAACTTTTTAGAAAAATCCCTGAGTGCACAACCTAGATGATGGCATTCTTTTGTCACCTCACTCCTGGAGGCTCAGGTGACAGCTGCAGGAGAAAGAGGGACTTTCAAGGGAGGCTGAAGAGAAAGGGAAAGAAATAAGAAAATCCTCAGCAAAGCTCTTCTCAGCTGAAGACTCTTGGTCCTGACCCTATCAGGAAGGGAATTCCCTTTTCTATAAAATGGGATGGTAACAGTACTCCCCCTCCTTGGCTGACAGAGGCAATAAAATAATCTTCTGGTTTACTATATAACTGTAGCAATCATCCTTTTCTTAGTGCAGTTGATAGCTCACCAACAAGTGGTTAATACCACTAAGCCCAAACCCCATGGTGGGAGAGTGCCTAAGCCAGCTCTGTCACAGCTCTTTAGGGGCAGAGAATTCCCTGCGTCTATTCTAAGCGGTGCCCTTGGGCTCAGGGTCCATCACGCCAGGTGATGGATGCAGTGTTGGTAGGACCATTGTGCTCTTAGAAACAGTTTTCTCCAATATCAAAGATCAGAAAGGAAAATAAGGATCAAGGTAAAAACATCATTTGAGTCATAGCCGAGACAAGCTCCGTAACATTTAGGCACCAGAGCAAAAGCAAAGAAAAATGACGGCGAAGGGAAACGTTATACAACTAACGTTGGCAGAAGAGCAGGAAGGAGATGTCGAAAGGAAAAGTTTGGTGCTCATTATGTAACTGTGCCTGCTTTGTCCCGACAGTTAAGTGCTTGTGTTCTGGCCTTTGCCCTGTAGTCATCTTTTCATGCCCACTGAAATCAGAGTGCCCACCTCAATGACAGGGTGCCTGCCCCATGCCCAGCCTTCAGAATTCAGCCACCAGAGCTCTTCAAGGAGACTGATGCTCCCCTCACTGACACAGTATTCAGGAAGTGTCCCTGAACTTGCCCTGGGGACAAGAAGTGGGTATGCAGGTGCTTATGATAAATCCACTCCAACGTCTCAGCCATGCCAGGCCCCCGATTCCTTCCTTTTCCATTATGCCGAGGAAATTTTGGAAAATACGTTGCAGAATCCCTGAGTCCTGCTTTCACTCAACCATCCAAACAGTCTCTTTAAGCCACTCCTGGTTGCTGGAGCTACCACTTTAAATTCAAAATAATTTACTCCTTCTTCCTTTACCTCGTATGCTTAGAATCCGTTCTTACGCGTATTCCTCAGGTTTGCACTAATTAACAAAATCTTGTAATCCTCTTGGAGAAAAGTCCCTCCTGGTCTCTCTCCACACCTGTGTCCAGGAGATGTTTCCCTAGGTGCAGCCAACACCCCAAGCCGAGGCAGAATTCCTCCTGGTCTTCGTATCTTCTTGCTTCCTTGGTGACCACTGGCATTTCTTCCAGTGAAACAGTTGTTCAGGAAGCAAAAATCTGCTGACACAGACGTTCAGCTCTACCTTGGTGTTTCGCCAGAGATTTGACTTTGATTTTTGAAATCGAAGAATCCTTGTGATCACGAGAGGGCCCCAGGGAAAACGAGCCTGAGGAAATGCCCCACAGTTCTCTGACCTGACAAAACTGCTTTTTCTGCATTAGTCTTTGCAGGCTGAGGTTGAAGACTCAATAACACCTCCATGGCATCTCAACCTCACCTTTACACTCTCTCCAAGTGCCAGGAGACAGACAGGGCTCAAGACAGCCTGGAAAGTCGACAATGACAGAGTGCAGGTCTGCTGAGGAGGAAAGCAGATACCTGCTTGAGCTGAAAACTTCTGGAACCACTTTTTACCAAGCCTGATTGCCTTGCACCCCACACCCTCTCTCCAAGCCCTGCAGTCACCTGGGGAGGTAGGTATCCTCACCCCATTTAAGAGGTAAGGACATGGAAGACTTGGCCTCACCCACATGCTTGCTCCACATCCACACCTGTGCCCAGTGGTGACAGCAAGACAGAGAGGTTGGCACTGCACTCCTTGGATGAGAAGAGGATAGTGTGCCTCCGATCATGATGAGATGACAGTGGTACAGGCTGCTGGGTCAACTGTAGGAGTTGACTTGTGCTCTGGCCATAGCTCTGACCCCTGCATTTTTAGGAAATGTCACCCTTCCTTTCTCCTCTGGCTGGCATCCTGCTCTTCCAAATTCCCTAGATGCAGAGGGAAGAATACCTCATGCTATTCCATTTTTTTTTCTTCTTGCTTTAGAAGCACCTCCTAACTGTATAGTTTAGAAAAGCCTAGAATTGGCAGCAAATCGGACCTTTCTAGTCACTAAAGAATTTAAAAAAAAAAATCCATGTGGCTTCTGAAATGTACATGGGAAAGCGTATAATCCCTAAATATAAAGCACTACTCTGGTGGGTAGGTTGTGCTCACAGAAATCATGTTTTGTGCCTTGAGACTAATCATTGACCTGAGTGTGCAAGGTTAAAAAAAAAAAAAAGACTTCAGCATCAGTGTATAAGCATAAGAAGAATCACTCTTTCCCCAAATGGTGGGTTTGTATTTATTTATTTTTTGCAAGAAGACTCAGTTCCTCAGTTATGGTTGGAAACCTTCTGAAATAAGCTTCCGTGGGAGAGTTGAGGATTTGGATCAGATGGACATGTGAACACGAGTCCTTGCTCTGTCATTTTCCTAGCTGTATGGCGTCTCGAGTCTCCTTGTGGGTAGAATGGGGACAGCGTGTCCCGTGGAGGGCGCTTGTTCAGATAAACCAGACCAAGTGGGGGAGGAGGAGCCAGCAAAGGGTACAAATAACAGTGTCACCAGGGACGCCTCAGTCTTATTCCCCTGGCCTTGGGGACTTCTATTCTGGTCACAGGAAAAGAAATTTTTCCACGTGTTCCAAGAATTTCTGCAGGAATTTCTTTCTGATTCGATGTCTAAGAGAGGAGGGTTTGATACCGCAGAATTTGGCAGTGTTTCAAAATCAACAACCCAAAACATGGAAGAACCAGCGTCAAGTCTTCAGGATCACTGTGACCCTGAGGGGAAGACCAACATAACCTACAGGACTCTGAGCCCAGAGACTTGGTACACGATGGTTCCTGCCTAGCAGGGTTGATGGTCACCTACACAACCGTAAAATCAGCAATTCCTATGGAAGGCTCCTATTCCAAATGGGAAGAAGTAGAAACCAGATTCTTCCAATCAAGCTTAAGAGCAGGATGAGAGAAATGAGCGCAAGGCACATGCCAGGCTTGAGGAAGGTGAGGATTTAAATCCCCAGGTGACAGAATTCTACGGGTGCTTCAGTTTTGATCCTACTCTTCAAAATTACCTCACTCTGGGGAGTTTAGAATGCAAAATTGCCAAGGCAGGGTAGGGAAGGAGTTTGCTGCTCCAAGGCAGTCAACACGGAGCGGCCTGTGGGGTTTGCAGCATCCGGCTTCTGTCAGGACAGAACTGAGTGGGAAGGGGACAGATTCAACAGACTGTTGAGAGCCTGGCTGTAAACACCCAGGGAACCAGGGGCTTAGACCCTAGCATGGCAGCCATCCCTTCTCCTTCTGCCGAAATAGAATCTGCCTGATGGACATATCTCCTCCCAGGGGACCCAGTTCTTAGAAATCATGTTTGGTGCTTTGGGCCTAATTAACAACAAAGGGTCATTTTATCTTTGCTCTCCCGATTTTGTTTCTGATTCACTTTCAATTCCTGTTATTATGAACCAAGTCAGTCAGAAAGGAACTATGGAGCACTCTGCCCCCATCTCCCCCACCCCCCCCATCCCACAGATGTCCCCTCCCCCCCATTCTTGAGTCCTTGCTGCTAGGGCTGAATCTGAGCGCATAAGTGCCATTAAGTGACATTCATCAAAACACTCTCCATTGTTCCCAGACACCAGCGGCCGAGAGGTGGAAATTACTTGGCATTTCATTTTAATCTGTATTGAAGACTTGCTTGACAAAACATATTAAGTGTAAGAATTGCCAGCTTGGGAATGAAGCTATGTTTATGGCCTGCACCACATTTTTTCCTTCCTAAAGGAAATGACACTTCCCCCCTATCCTTCCCCATCTTCTGCAGCTCACCCTTCCCCCACGCATGAAACCTTAACATTTAATTTTCTTTCGTGAGTAAAGCTTTTGTTGGCGGCGTCTAGAAAATGATAGTAAACATCTTATACCCCTGCACCAGCATCTGAGATTTTAAAAAAAAAAAAACCCAAACAAACTAACTGCCTTTAATATGGTACAACCAGCAGCATTTCTCAGGGAGCCATGCTGTGGCCATCTAACTATAGGCCCCATGTGAGCAAAGTGCTTCTCTGGAGAGAGACTGTCACCACGTGCTTGTGCTTCCCACTAAGGCCGATGCCATGCTAATGGATGCACATGGTTACTGGTTACGAGGCACCAGGATTCTCCCTGCTGGGCTGAGAGTCGTGGAGTGGAATGTTATGTGTGTCGTGCTTGCGTGGCACAAGTTTTATTTTCTTTGGTGCCTCAAGTCATCTTTCAGATGACTTTTGACATCGTGTTAGAAAACAAAAGGCTCTCCCAGATGGGAGATTGTTTTATTTTTTTCCTCCTCCTTTTGGTCTCTTTTCAGATTAGGAGG